TATATATATTGGTGGGTTTCCTATAAGTTGTTATGATTATATCGACTAATTACATTTATTTATGTAGATTATTATACTATTCCCTTATTAGTAAAAGTAAAAATATTGTAATTAGTGGGAGCATTATAATTGTGAGGTTGGAACCTGTTTTCTACGGAGGTAGGAACTACTGGTATCCCTATAAAGTATGTACAGTTTTTAATTGATTTCCTTCTGTAGTTTCATGGTTTAAATGTAACGCTTTGATGGCCCAATCATAATACCTATTGAGATAATATTCCGTAGTAAGTATTTGGAGATAAAGTAAAGGCATTTAGAGAATGTGAAAAAAGTGTTATACTTTTAAATGCAGTAGGATATGGATAAGAAATCATGAATAACGATAATAGAGAACAATTATATAATAATAATTCATTAACTAAGTAGGAAATACATTGTTCGCTCATCCCTCAAAGAATTCACGATGGTATGTTATGAAAACTGAAGACGTTTACGAATAAACTTCCAATCGAACAAGAATACTATTGTGTTGAGAGGAATGGCGTACGCACATGGCAGTCAATTGTCTGTCGCGTACAACTAATCAGTTTCAGAGAATAGATGAGAATGTGTTCATAAACTAAGCTGTAATAGATCATAGTTGTCTTTCTGGGTGTCTAGACAATGATGTGTAACAAGCAGTTAGATTTTACCTACATGTTGACCATCGGGAACCTCTTCGACATTTGTAAGCTATGTTTAAGTCTCGTTCTCGCCAGGAAGTTCTTGGTCCTCTTTGTTAAGAGCACGGCCTGGATGTTAGACAGCACACCATAATACACGATCGTCATCCGGGAGAGTAACCAGGATCGTATGCAATTGTGGTCATCGGAAACGACGAGGAGTCGAGTTAGCTACTCTCCGACGTAATGATAGCTAAGCATGGTGTTCGTGTAGGTCACAGATATATTAAATTTTTGTGGTGTAGGTATAGTCCTGGCCCGAACAAGATTGGCCAGAGGCTATCTGGGCACTTCTTAAGTAGCCAATTAAAGAATTGTTCCAATGTCAGCCTTTAATTATAGCCCTGGCAATTGATGAACGACACATTCATATTTTAAGAATGTTGATATTAAACTGTCAAACACCAAGCGGTCACCGGTGACCGCAACCTATTATTCTATAATTGTGTCTATAAAACCGGTACTCGACGAGTTAATTTGAAAATATCAACATGGCTCACACATTTATAGCGGTTCCTTATCGTCGTAAACAGGTATATTTAATTAAGTACTAGGTATTTAATTCTTTCAAATTCACAATTTTGATTAGTTACATTATATGCCTAATAATATCATTATTTCAGAAATGACTGCCCCGTTGGCCGAGTGGCCGCAAGTGCGACTGCCGTGCAAGGGGTCCCGGGTTCGGTTCCAGTGTAGGGCAACGTATTATTGGGTCTTTAAAAAATTCTCAGTAGTAGTACGGAGTCTGGGAATGTGCCCGTTATATAGCAATAGGCTCATCCCCTATTACATGGGACTCATGACATAAATAGTAAAAGGCGGGTGTTACATTGTACAGTTGCATTAAATGCCGTAATCTGCATCTCTGCTATCCCCTCGGGGATAAAAGGAGCGATGTTATATTATGTGTTCAGAAAATGTCTGTCAATGAATACTTTCAACCTTATTTTTCCTCAAAGGGTTCAGCGTATGTTGGTCAGTTGAGACTACTACGCACGAAATTTGGAATTATCTCCCGTGTAAGACCATAAATGTAGGTACTATCCTTATTACGTAAGTAGAGTTCCCTAACAGGCAGACAAACTAAATTTAAAACGTGGTTATTATATTTTGTACCTATAATACATAAGTACAACGTATAGTCCCATATTATATCTAGTTACTGATATTGATATAGGTTGATGTTCTATGTCCACTTCAATTTGATATCAACACTTGTGTATAATATTAATCTAGATTCCTTAATAAAGAGCGTTTAAGTTAGCTTTAAGAGTTAAGAGTACCTACTTAAGGTTTTAGTGCCAAATATTCAATGCTCAGATAAATTTTAACTGAGGAATAACTGTTAATATTTGTCAATTTTTTATCATGAAAATTGTCAAATGTCAATTTTATTCTACAGTTAAAAATTAACTGCAGCTGTGGCCAAATGCCATTTAGCACTTGTCTACTTGTAGAATAGAAAACGTATGTGGAATTGACGTAAATTTTGACACTTGTCAGTGTCATCCCCGTACATTTGGTTTTCTAATCTCTCAAGTGGCGCTTGGCTAAAGGCACAGGATGATTGAACAATCGTCCCTTATTATTGTTAAATTCAAATTTTATTACGATCTATTTAAATTAAACTACCTATTATACCAATTAGTCAACTGTGTCAACGAATTTCTACTTTATTATTTTTGCAATAAAGCCCTAAACTCAATACATACATATTATGAGATTACAGAGATTTAAAAGTTTGGGGTGACTTGCCTGTACGTAGGTTGAATTACTTGAATTATGTAAATGAAATAAACAAAGAATTGAAATTTCCATTTTCATGGAAAGACAATACAGTTTCATGTATTAATGAACCAGTACTTAGATAAAGAATTGATCGTCTGTGTTGTATCGTATTATATGGCACAATTCCAATAATAGATAGACCTAGCACTCGTAAAGCCAGAGTAGCTAATTAAAATAAAAACTAGCCATTGTTCCTGGTACTTGCGTATCTCGAGGTCTATCTAAAGTAGATATCAATAGCACTACGAAGAGAAATGATTGGATTCGGTATCTTAAGTAAATTAAAGTAGAATCGATTACTAATGCGACAAAAACTACAACATTGTCGATCTCGTCGTTGTTGAAGTTTATCGATTATATTTTGTAATTTGTTATAATAAAAGTATCTAATCTAAATCGTAGATATAGGGACATAATATTACGTACTTAGTGCCTACCTAAGCATTTATATCCGCTTTTGAATGCGTACCTATACTTACATATTAACCGCTTCAATATCGGTATATGACACACAATAGAAAACACGTTGTGTCTCGCGTAGATTTACGTTCGCTCGTGGTATACTGCGTGTTAAGATAGTGTCTATACAATGTAGTTTATATAATTTTAATTTTGCTTGAACGCAGAATGACTAAGGACTGATTTCTTACCAAGACTAAGCATTGATTACCAAGATTGCTGAAGGCAGATTAGCGATTTCAGGCTTACATCAACTCAACAGCCTATAAAATCTATAAATGCCCACAGCTGACCGATAGCTTCTTCTCACACGGAAAAGGAACGAGCATTGATTATTGTCTCAAGACGGATTAGTGATTTCAAACTCCTTATAGAAATCACAAGTCCAGGTTTCCTTACAAACTTTTACTCCACCGTAGTGTCTAAATAATATTAGAAATGTTTCAAATTTAAGTATTGAATGATAGGCTAGGTTTACTCAAGATTACGACACACCTCAAGGGTAATGCCGGTTCCTTACGATGTTTTCCTTCATCGTTTGTCAGTGGTGACATAATTAATTTGGGTATTCAAAACTGAAGCTGATTACAAGCTACTTCTTCGTTTCATTTACAAGTTATCTATTCATTTACAACCTTCAGTACCTATTTCTCTTCAGAAGGTAATTATAAACCACGTTTTCTTTTCAGTTCCTATTATAGATAAATACCTTTTAACTTTCGCTAGAATAAAATTTCGATACCGAGACCTACCTACATTATTATGTACGATATGCATTGAAATTACATGTCTCTACAAAATGAACGATATATCCTATGAGATAAGTAAATGAAATGAATTAATGAGTAATTGTCGTACTCAGAGACATTACTTAAACTATTTCTTATTAACGATTTTGTTCCGAAAACAATTGTTAAGGACTGGGTTCAGTAATTAACCTCTGAGTGCGGCAGTTAGAGTTTGAATGATAATTAAAAATATTGAGTGATATCAAATTGAACATACGTAGGTAACATTACGTCATGGTTAACTTACTATTATGTAGGTGCATCGGCAATAATTTGTAATTTTGTACAATATAATTGTTATAAGTATACCTAGGTTAACACTTCATCTAATTAAGAACGCTTAAGGATAGTTAGTTTAACACATGTGTTTTATAATTTTCTCATATTTTATTTGTTTTGTTTGATAAACAAACCCATAAAACCGCATTTATTGATGTATACTTAACTATATAAAAATAAATCCGAAAATATCATTATACCTAAGTATTTTTTATTCGAGAGTAGATAAGATTTAATATTTGCTACATAATTATAATTGCGAGCGAGATTCGGTAACCTTTTAGCTTGTATAGATAATTTAATCTGGATTCATAATATAAGTTCCTTAATTATTTAGCAATAGGTACCTATGTTCAGCGTTGTTGAAGATTTTATTATATTTCGTGGCTAATAATATTGCAGTGGCTTTTTCAAAAAAAATTTAAACGCTATAATTTTAATACCTAGGCTATAAATATCGTGCGTTTTAACTGTTCCTCAGTACGTACAGTTAGGCAATTGTATCTAAAATAAATATAAGTTCTTACAAATAATAAGAAAAATATATTGTGGAAATAATAACTTACGTAAGTAATGTAAGCGACATAATGTGGAGCTACCGTGGTAAAGTAGACAGCACGATATTTGTAGTAAATCGAGACTTGGTCGAATTATTCACTTTTCATATACCATGGGCTTAGGTACGTAATAGAAAAACATGAGTAAAAGTACCTAAGTATTTTCCTTTATCTTGAACGTAGACTCACTCTCTAAATATTCCAAGAAAAAAGTGCCGTAATAAATAATAATTTTCAGTCAATTTTTAAGTCACTTAATCATTCTGATTTCTGATTCAAAGACCTCTCTATTCGTTGCGGGAAGTATTTATTTACTCACACAGTGAGATAAGAAATTGAATCGAATAAACAGATTCCGTAAAATAAATATACATAGGTATATAATAATATAATATTGTACTTACGTGAAAAACGTGTTCAACAGTTCACTGATAAACTGATAACGCAGTGCACTGATCGACTGTTTTCATGAAGAGCGATAATTTTATACAATCCAACGATTTATTGTGAACGGTTGCACTGTAAAACTATGGCACAGTTTTCGAAACGAGTTATTCGGGTGGTAGTAGGTTTACGCGTCGATATTTTGTTCAGGAGCGAGTGGCGCGCGCTCTACGGCTTCTAGCGGGTTATTGGCAACTACGGGCCGAGGCTGCGTGCGCAGGCCGCGTCACGCCGCTTGCCGCATATCCACTCCGCATTGACAGGCACACACGGTGCACACACCCACCGCTCCAGGTGGACGTCACTTCGACTGCCGACGACACTCGTGAAAGACTGAAAGTATTATCTCTCTACAGAATCTCAAGTTAACTCCAGTTACTAAACGGGACTTTACCTGTTTCGATTTAAAAATAACACCCAACCAATTTTTTTATATAGGTAGGCATGTGAAACCAAGAATATACCTTACTGCCAATATCTATGCACACGCAGCTTTGAACTATGTATTAGTAGGAAGATCGATCTATGTAAACATGTGTATCCGATTTACTTCCAAGACACTTCGTTTCACTGAACAGTGGCCATGCAAATAGGGACGAATATTTAGGTTTCTACTATAAGCCTATTTCGAGAGATCTATGTAGGTAGGTATGTTATAAGTATGTGGTAATTTAATTTATAGGAAAAAATACGTACCTTTATAGGTATTATGTTTAGTATAAAGTGAAAATGAAATGCCAACGACTGAGTTGCCTTAAGGTAATTGCTGAAGTTGACTGCTTCAAGTGCGGCACTAGATAGGCACGAACAAGCCATAAATTATATCTAAACAATATATCTAATCGTTATTCAATTGTAGATAATAAATGCGTCATTAAATGTAGTCTGGTAGAATAATATTTAAAAGTATTGGCCACGTGTATTTCCTTTTTTAAATGATTTAAAAACTTATGACGGTTGTTTTCGAAACATCGCGTCCGCATCCGCATAGCGCCTCGTGCTGTCGTGCACAATACCTATCTGCCTTCATTCGGTATAATAATATCTGCGTGGTAATGTTGCGAGGTTCAGTTCTTTAACTTGAATTTGCTTTTCAAACATTTACACTGATTTTGACTAAACAAAAACTACGCATCGTAGGCACGTCGCGTTGGTACCTATCTAATTTCCATAACGTATGTGTTGAACTAATGCGAATGTCTAATTTTCGTAAGTATCACGTCTTCATCCCAATAAATTATAGTTACGTACCTAAATACAATCCATAGAAGAGAAGAATTTGGTTGTCTTTGAATGATTGGAACATGTGCACAGACGGAACGGTTTTCAGCATTCATCAAAATATCTTAACCATTGCATAAGATTACAGCTGTGCGGCTGTGACTAAATGTCGTAATATTGTATCGGCTGCATTTATTTTTAAAAAGTACAGCAGGGAGCCGTTCTACTTACCCACTGTCACTCATTTACATGCCGAAACGAACAAGAGATCAGAACGTCTTGATTAAAATTAATTGCCATCTTTAAATAGATTTGTACAATATATTTTTAGTAGCAAAGAAAAACGTCTTGTTTAGTTTTCAAGTAGGTACCTCCTTGTAAAAGTTCAATAGTAGGTTAGTTCAATACTCATTTGGGATTTTCTTAACTAAAATATTTCCAATGAAATATCCAAATGTGTTAGGTACTTACGAGTTACGAGCGATCACTCCGTACCTAGTTTAGGTGTTTTCACACCAAAACTGCTCAACAAATCATAATTTTGAAATAGTCTGCAAAGAATCAACCATATTTTATAATAAACGACGGGGTAGGTAAAATGGCGGGATGTAAATTATTTTTATTGGGTCAATGTTATCAAGCCCTAATGACCCGAGCGTACGGCGCGTCGCGTTCCGCGCGCGCCTCAAAGAGCCATCAGACCACCACAGATGGGGCCCAATAGGGCCGATTCCGATTCGGAGTCGCGGAGAACCTAACGGGTAACCGGGGCTCCGGCTCGACGTGCAAGAGAAGGAACGGGGTGGTTTTTAGTCAGTAAGAGTCTGACACTCCCTCCCGCCTCACCCAGGCGGGAGCAGTCATTCGATGATTTTCCCCCCTTAAAAAAAAAAAAAACCTCTTTCTGCAGTGCAGTGTGTTTTTAAGAGGTTGTTTTTAATTAGCCTTCATGTCGTAAACATGCTATTTTATAACCAAGTGACTAATGTCAAGTAGCATGAAACTAAAGTACATACCTACCTAGGTACCTACTTAGTACTATACTTAGGTACATTCGTAATTTTGTAAATCGTGATTGCTTATCGCTATAAAAACACTTTTCAATAAAGTTTTACAATGAAAGTTATCCTTATCAATCACAAAATTATAGCAAGTGATAAGAATTACGCTGCCCTTCAACCAAAATTGTGTCGAATTGACACATGAGTTAATGATACAAGAATGTTTATATCTACAGTTCTGCTAGTATGTATGAGTTACAGATAAGTGCCATCTTTAACCTGTATCTACTTTTCTGCCTCGTTGTGTACAACAAAACCTGTCAAATTATATTTCATTTTGATTTTTTTTTATTATTGTTTAACGTTGCGAACCTATGTTTCCCGCTTTTTTCTTTAACGTTTCATGTTACCTACACCAGTAGGTATTGTCCTGTCTACCAACTTATTGCGTGGCCCCGCGTTATTGAGTACAAAAAAAAATTTCTAGTAATTCCATTTTTTACACTTCAACCAGTCGAATATAAAAAGCCAATATTATAAAATAATATAAAGTGAATATTTAGTACTTCATTACTACTAACGCCATCTGTTGTCTGATAGTGAAATGACAAAAAATATAACATTCCAATAAGGCTTTGTATAGTTAAAGAACTTATATTATGTTTATTAAATAAACTACAATGAGTATCATGTCTACAATCAAGTATGCTATGTAGAAATAACTTATGTAAGTATTAACATTCTATTAGCTATTGTAATGACTCGAAGAATGTCGATGATTGCATATTTTTTGTGTAATTTTTATATTATTTATTACCTACCAGCTTTTGCCCGCGTATTCCTGTTTTTTCCCATGGGAGCATGTAATCGGGATATACCACTGCCCCTGACTCTGCCTGTATACCAAATGATGATGACCTTTGTATGGAGAGTACCTACAGCCTTTTAATTTTTTCGCGGCTGTTATCGGATATGGAAAAACTGATGCAGAATAATATTACAAACAAAAAAATATATGGGGTCTTTATATCAAAAACTCAGTCCGAACTGAGTTAAATCAGCTCAAAGATGAGAAAATAATACTATGTTATTCTTGTTATTTAGTTGATGGTGACCGTACATAATGCATATTTTCTTCATTTACTTATCAGAAATATTTGGTAATAAATATTTAGGTATAAATGATTTCAAGGACACACAGTTTATTATGAACTAATTTACCTATTTTTTTTATGAAGCCACGGAATCACACAAGGAGCATTGTTTAAAAAAATAAACTGTACCAGCGACGCGCAATTATAACAATTGTTCCGCGTGATTGACTAGCGTACGGCTTTATGACGTACGACAAATATTCATGACCTCATCTCAACTCATCCTTTTATTCGAAAACCCGCAAAATAATCCACTGAGCCCTATTATGAAATGCTATGTTTGTCAACTGCGGCTTCAATAGCGGATTGAGTAGCAGTAAGTAGGTAATCGTCAAAACATGAAAAAAAAAACATTTTTCTTTCGACTAATCTAACTACAGCTAATACTTACTCGAATCTACAGTTAGCATACCTAACATTTTGTAAAAAGATATCATCATCCGGTCACAGAGTGATGGATTAGGTACCTATACTTCGACTGATCACGTAAATACTGCTACACAAAAATCCCCTCGTTGGCCAAGTGGTCAAAGTCAAAATCATTTATTTCAATTAGACCGGAAGGCACTTTTGAACGTCAAAACCAAATATTTAAATATTAAATAATAAGAAAAAATGTCAGTCTGTAGGTCAGTCCTCTAGTGAAGCTATTTGCTCGTTCCAAAGTGTAGATATGGAGAAGAACGAGCAAGAAACACCATAGGTTTTTTTTAAGGGGGGAAAATCGTCGAATGTCTGCTCCCGCCTGGGTGAGGCGGGAGGGAGTGTCAGACTCTTACTGACTAAAAACCACCCCGTTCCTTCTCCTGCACGTCGAGCCGGAGCCCCGGTTACCCGTTAGGTTCTCCGCGACTCCAAATCGGCATCGGCCCTATTGGGCCCCATCTGTGGTGGTCTGATGGCTCTTTGAGGCGCGCGCGGTACGCGACGCGCCGTACGCTCGGGTCTGTTTCTGGTCGGACGGGGAGCCACCCATGCTCGCCGTCCACAGGCCAGCGCTTACGGTGGCCGGAGATCGTCCCGCGATCCCCGACGCCCGGTGTGTCCTTCGCGATGGCTGGGTTGAGAGGAGGCAGCGCTTCGCTGCCTCACGCGTCTCGCCCCCTCCTTAGCTAGCATGACTGCTTCGCAAAAGGAGGAGACGGCATCCCAGTCCCCCTCGCTCCGCATCATGGCCCGCACTAGGCCCGGACGCGAGAGGTCGCCATCGCCGATCACTTCCCTGAGGGCACGGCGGTGCTCAGCCCACGCAGGGCATTCCGCTACAGTCTGTAAACACCATTGGTTACTCTTTGTCAATCATGTTCACAATACAATTTTTGGTTACATTGCATACAATATTTGGTCAAGTACGACTGCCGGGCAAAGGGGTCTCGGGTTCGACTCCCGATTCGGGCAAAGTCGACTGGGTTTTTAAAAAAAAATCTCTGTTGTAGTACAGAGTTTCGAATTGTGTCCGGTATATGGCAATTGGCTCACCCCCTAATTACATGGGACTCATAACATAAATAAAGAAAAGTGGGTGTTACATTATAAGTGCCGTAATGTGCACCTCTGTCAACCGTTTCGCTTAAGAGGCGTGATATTATGTTCCGTTGTGTGATCACACAATTATGAAAAAATTGTGCCCTCATCTGACGTATAATATAGACCATCACTTCACAACCAGCTGATGATTCCCTTTCTTCTTATAAGATTATGCTGACTGTAATGTAGGTGAGTCTTCACTCAGGAGTAAGTAAACGGCTAAATAAATATATACGTTGTTAGATATTTGGGCGGCTGCCACTACTCTACCTACCACTGCCACTGGTACCGCAGCTGACGCTCACGAAGCTTCATGACACATCTCCTTAAAGCATCCTACATGTTATCGACGCGACGTAGAGAAAATAGCTAATAAAAATGAGTGCCTGCCATACTAACCATATTGTGAACCAATATGGTGTGCCTGTGTCAGGCATACAGTGGTGCGCAATTTGAATTGTGACAAAAACATAAATCAAACATAAAATAAGAATGCAAAAAAATAAAATAAAATGTTCGACTCCAGCTCCTTTCAACACTCAAACTCAGTCAGGACTGAGATTTTCATATATAAGCATAAGCAATTTCGTTTGTACTGTCATTTTAGATAATATTTTTCATAAATCATCGACTGCTGCCAGAAAAAAGGAAGGCACCAATTTTAGGCAATGCCCTTTCATCAAAATCCGATCAGCGTGATTGACGGGCAAACATGCATACAAACATCGAAACAAAGAAACTTTTGCATCTTTTATATAATATTAGTGTGATCTGAGTATCTGACATAAAAGACCGCAGCATGCAAGGGCGGTGCGGAGCATAACTATTATAGATTCCAGATTTATACTCTGAAATAATCTGTAATTTCAAGTATAAGCGTAATTAGTATTTTAGGGTTTCTAGTACAGTTTTTGCACACTTTGTAAGAATTTCATTGTGCAATGTATGTTAACAATATAAAAATCATAAATAAAAATAAATCAACAGCCTGTTTTCGTCCACAGCTGGACATAAGCCTCGCCAATGGCACGCCACTGAGCTCGGTCTTCAGCTCTACGCATCCAACCACTATCAGCCACTTTACGTCTATCGTCACTCCATCTAGTTGGAGGGCGCCCTACACTACGTTTGCCTAGACGCGGTGTCCACTCCAGAACACGTCTAACCCAGCGGTCATCGGTTCTTCGATAAATGTGACCGGCTCACTGCCATTTCAGCTTGCTAATCCTTTGGGCTACATCTGGAACTTTAGTTCTCTGTCGGATCAGCTCGTTACGGATCCTATCCTTCAAAGATACTCCGAGCATAGCCCTCTCCATAGCTCGCTGCGCCACCTTAAATTGGTGGACCAGTCGCACTGTTAGTGTCCACGTCTCGGCTCCGTATGTCATGACTGGTAGGACGCACTCGTTGAAGATTTTTGTCTTCAGGCTTTGCGGTAGACGAAAAGGCCCGATAGAGTTTCCTATATGCCGCCCAGCCAAGCTGTGTACTTCTACGAGCCTCCCTCTGGAAGTTGTTTCTACCAAACTGTAGGGTTTGTCCTAGGTAGACATATTCATGCACAACCTCGAGAGTAGACCCATTCAGGGTGATCGGCTCCGGAAGAACATGTTCATTGAACATCACCTTCGTTTTGTCTAGGTTCATCCGGAGTCCAATGCGAGCAGAAGAATCTGCCAGGCTGTTCAGCATACATTGTAGGTTTGCACGATTTCAGCCACGATGACGACGTCATCTGCAAATCTCAAGTGTGAGAGATACTTGCCGTTTATATTTATGCCCCGTCCCTTCCAGTGCAGCGTCTTGAACATATCCTCCAAAGCATTGGTAAATAATTTGGGAGAAATAACATCGCCTTGTCTTACCCCCCGATGCAGGTGGACAGGTTCAGACTGCCGGTTTTGTACTTTTGTAGACGACCATAGAGGCAGATTATACAGAAGACTGAAGAATATAATTTGCCTCTATGCCTAGCCTTTGTGGACTCTACAAGAAAGCCTTTGACTCTATTGAAACCTGGTCTGTTCTGGAGTCCTAGCAACGGTGCTAAGTCGATTGGCGATATGTCCAAGTGCTGAGAAATCTAAATAAAAATAGTTCGAACATAATTCACTAAATCGTCCTACCTTACCTAAGAAAGTGTTATTTCTCGAACTTAAATTGTCAATACGGGCAAGATTTTTTTGAACTTTAATCGTTCCCACTTCACCCATGGTGACTATCAACCCGTATAGACAGATGTATACAGTTAGCGATAACATTGACAACTCATAGTAGGTCATCGATTTTTAGGTCGATACATTTATTTGTACGTAAGTATGTTGTAGGTACCTATGTGAAAACCGTCTCTTTCATACCTGCAGAAACTATTTCCATCCATAAATGAGTCGATTAGAGAATATTTTTTTTATATGGCATAGAATGCAAACAAGCAGACGGATCACTGCAGCCAATGGACCACACCACTACCACTAGTGGAGCTACAAGTGCGTTTTACAGATTGGAAGAGGGATGTTTGTTTCATTTTAGATCATGGAAATAATTTTCTGTAATAAAACTATTATTTTAATTAATTATTACTTTTATTACTGTCCCCAAAATGCAAGAATTACAAAAAAGCTTATCTACCACAATACCTAGACATGAAACGATAATAAATTGTGACACTATTTCTGTCTCATTACATAGATGTATTTTTTTTATTTTATTTAAAGGCCATTACACAGGAGCCATTTACACATTTGAATATTATAAGCCTAAGCACTACTAAATACTTCATATATGTTAGCCCCTAGAAGTTTCAACTTGTCACTTAATGTGAGTTGCTGAGTCAATAAATCTGGAATGTTAGTGTTACCCTTACATGTGTTCTTTGTAATGAGTTCACTAATAACAGGTAAGAGTTTTACAAAGTGTATTTCTACTTTATTGACATCTACAAAAGTGTCAGGACTCGCTCCTAGTTTCAATGCCCCATTTGTGATTACATGATCAACATTTAGCTCTAAATGATTCTTACTGGTGGGAGCAGATTTAGATACAAATAAGTTGGCAATTTCATCTATGATAGATGAGAAGCTGCGACTTACAGATGACATGGTAATGGTGGTGACTTCATCACTTTCTAAAAGATCCATTGTTTCTTTAACAATGGTGTCTAGTTTTGCCCCACTGATCTCTGCATTACCCATTAAGTACTGCACCATTTTCTTAACAGGGTCACCTTCTACAGTATCTGTACACAATATAGTTTGTATAGACCAGAATATTTGCTCCACCTCTCGCAATGTCATCTTTTTCTTTAAGGATACAGGCTCAACAACTTTCTTCACGGCTGTCTCTATCTGTTTCACTAAGTCTTCCACACCTCTATCTACAAAATGGTGACATAGAGACAAATACTTTGCTTGCAGGTCACCATCCACAAGAGAATCTTCCTCGCGGACTGAATCTCTGTACAGGTAACCACCAATTATGTTAAGCTGTACTCGTAGTATCACTTGCAATATGTTCAGTGCATATACAAGGACACATATTCTTGTGTATATCATAATCTTCAATTGTTCCCATAATGCTAATTTGTTTTCTGGATTATCCTGCAGTTTTTGAACTATCTCTTCTGTGTTTAATATACTTAAAATACTTTCTGTCACAATTTTTGATAGTGATAATATTGTTTGGTTACATGTACGTTCAGTGCTCTCAAAGTGTTGCTTTTTACGAGTCATTTCGAAAAATCGTTTGGCCTCTTTTTCTTGCCATTCTCGCAATTTTCTCTGTGCATAACCGGTGAGTAAATATAATCCACCAAACACAGCACCTGTCACAATAAACTTGCGTTTGTGACGGCGCAAAAAGTCCTTAAACCCTTCCAACATTTTGTATACAAATTTTATGCTTACTTTACTGGAATAAAAGAGGTGCGTCAGAACGGTACTTAGTTGTATTCATCAATCGTCTTGTTATGAAAGTTGTAGCGTCAATGAACCTTTCCACACAGTTCATTATGCACACCTCAGTCTTGGAGTCCAGCCGGTTGGTGGGCCGGCCCATGCATGTGTCCCAGCATGTGTCTGTTAGCCCGTGGACAAGAACCTGCAATGGAAATATAAAACAATAATTAAATAAATATATCAATACATGTAATTCATTATGCAAATTAGGAAATACAAGACATTATAATTATGGTAATCAATTTATAATATTCAAGTTATAATAAATACTACATGATAAAAGTACAATATTATCACTTTATTGTTATTATCATTTTGAGTCAAGGACTTTAGTCAATTAGATTATTTTTAAACTGCATTAGTTAGTTGTTAAAACGAATAAATTCTTTTAGAATTTTGGGTAATAAAGGTCGAAAAGTATTAAATTAAAACAGTAGACCACAATCATTAGGTAAACTAAACAATGTTCGGTCAAAGGTCGAGGGTGGCCTGGGAAACTTGATTATGCGTAATATTTTAAGCAATGTTATATTTCGGTAGAGTTTTAATTAAATAACAATATTTATTAAATAGACTCACTTGGAAACGTTGTTTCTGCGTTTCTGTGAGGATAAAGTTTTCTAACTGTGGATCTTGCAACTGTGCTTCGGTCATAATCAGTGATGAGGGCAATAAAATAACTTCTTCTCAACAAATACAGAAAAATAACATGTAATAAGGCTTACTTATGAAATGTTGTAAAAATGTAGGAAATGTGCCTGTCTGTCTGTCTGAGAACAGAGAATTAATATTTTTCCTTTTTTTACAGAGAAGAGAAACGAGAACCAGATTAATGTTGCCTTATAAATAAAAACAGCATTCAGTACATCATTCATTCACTGTCGTTCATGTCACTTAAATAGTAAGTTATTTCAACTCAAAGCAAAAAGTACTAAAAACAAAATGTAAGTTTTATACTGAGATAATCAAAAATATTATTTCTTAAATTTTTACGTGTTCTTTAATATAATATAATTCCTCAATATAATTTTTTAAACTAAATAGTTGTTAGTTATACTTTCCATTAATAGTTATTTTCTTCGTATTCGTAGCTGTCAGAACCTCTCTAGATGAGTTGTGGTTATTTTGGATTGTTGATAGTCGTGATTTTGAATTTTGTTTTAATTCTTCCAAGTATATAAAATTTACAGTGTTAATAACAATGGCTCAAGTTAATCATTGGAAAATATTAACAGACTGTGATTTTACTGGATATACACTAGTTATACCAAGTGTGGCGGTTGGAAATGTTGGGCAACTTGCTGGTGATTTAATCATTTCTTCTTTACACATGACAAAGATTGGAATAATTTACAGTCCAGCACTTATTCCTATATCAGGATACGATCCTTATAAGATTGGCTCAAACTCTATATCAAGTTGCTGTGAACTTTATCAGTGTGCTGAAAGGAAAGTGGCCATTCTGCTGTTAAGGGCACCGCTAGTTTATAAGTACGCAAATCAATTCCTCACTGAAGTCGTGGATAAATTCAAAGCTGAGAATGTCAAGGACATTGTAATACTAACAAGTAGTTTTGCTCATGAGAGGAAGCATATAATGACATCACCTTTCCGATATGTGGTTAATGATGTATGTTTGTACACGAGTAAACTGAGGACTTTGGATTGGGTGGAACATGAAACTAAAGGTGAGCCTGTGAAAATACTTGGAGGAGGCTTTGCATCTTTACTATTTGAAATTACCAAGGAGAAGTCTGTACCATGCTTTCTCTTGTACAAGTTTGCATCGGAGGGAGACAACATACCTGATGCTTATGAAATGGTGCAATATTTGAACACTGTCATACCACTCTTCAATGATTCAGACCTTTTCACACAATTAGTCCCCCCAGTTTCATGGAACCTCATGTATGGAGGACCACCACCTAAAAATATTTATTAAATTTATACTAAATGTTGAATAATAAAAATATGTTTATTAAATGAATATTTTTAGTATAATAATGTGTGATTATTTTTATAAAATAATTGGTCAAGTGTGAGTCTGAGCTGAACCAATGATTTCATACCAAGATATAGGTATAAAACTATCTCTGAAAAAAACTTCAAAAATTCTAATACATTCAATTAACTCCCTAATTACAATTAGCAAGAATACTGATGTATATTTTGTACCTAGTAATCCATTTACATAACAAACAAACATAATTTTTTTATAATTTACAATTTTATCATGCATTTAATATTATTAGCATTTTGTATCAATCTTAAACTCAGTCATTAAAAATACCTGGGATACTGAAAAGACTTATCAACATGAACTGAGAACACCAATATTTTTTAAGCTAGAGCAAATGGTAAAGTTCATATAAATAGAACTAGATGGCGCTACCAGTAACTTATGAATTCAACATGAGTTTGGTCAACATCGAATTGTGTTGTTGGAAGTGGGATTTGGTTGGATCCATATTAATTTTCACTACATGTTGTTTTATAAGGTTTTTCTATCTATCACTCCTCAATATTCGTACCTAGTATAAGTAATCTGGTAATACCAATTTCGTTATCATTGCTCTATTCGAGACAAAAAGTTATAGAAGCGTTTTGTTGTTAAGATCACAGATGGAACTGTGAGGCACTCTCAGTTTAATTACAAGATTGACCTAATTATTCATCTTTTAATTTTCATGATCTGAGTAAATAAGTTCAAACTTTTTGATTTATGGCTAAAGTCAGATCGGTTTTATTTTTACCTCTATACGGTAGTTGTATTGTAACCTAATACGAAGAAATGAAAAGGACATTTTAAGTTAGATACCTATGAGCCTCCCAGGTACCGACTTATACGTATGTGAGTTATGTGACTATGATGATGGTAATAATATCGCTTATCAGTTTTTTATAAGGGCTAAGTCACAAAGATCTGATCTGACTGCACGTTTGGTGCGGTGGCTGGGCAACCGGCTGCCGTGCAACGTGTCGCGGATTCGATTCCCGCACGGAACAATACTTTGCGTGATCCACAAATTGTTGTTGCGGGTCTGGGTGTCGTTGTGTATGTGAACTTGTATGTTTGTAAACGCACCCACGACACAGGAGAAAATCCATGTGTGGGGCAAAGTTTAAAAAAAGATTAAAATTTATCTCTCATCACCAGGGCCGTCTTAGACTACGCTGGGGCCCTTGGGCACACAAAAATTCGGGCCTCTTTTGGAATGTTTCTCTTTGTTGACATTGCCCTACACGAGGGTTTCTCCTGTATCGTGGATGGATTAACAAAAATGAAACATACAAGTTCACATATACATGACACCCAGACCCGAAACAATTTATGGATCACGCAAGGATTTGCTTCCGTGCGGGAATTGCTGAGGATGGGGGCCCTGGGCACGGGCTCCGAGTGCCCTTATGGTAAAGACGGTACTGCTTCTCACACGTTTTGGTAATGGGTCGCAAAAAAACAGATGTACTATGTATTCGATTTTTACACCATTTGTTAGTATAGTAAGGTCTAGACTAGATAAACTTAAACCCTCTTATTAATAAACATAGAATAGAGTAAGAATAACTTTACTCCGTGGTATAAACTCAGAATAGTCAAATTCGGTATTAATAAACAAGGAGTAACGTCGGAGTAAGCTATTCCAACGTTAGTCTGAGAATAAAAGTTAGTCCATGGTGCCACATGGTTTAGCGACGGTGTAAGCTTGGATTAGTGTCATTTTGACATTTTGTTGATAGATATTTTTTTCTTCTTTATTGACAACCGAGTTTCCATCGAGTTTCCAATATGGTTTTGATGACCAGTATCGAGTGGTGTACGGCATTTTCAGATAAAACCTATTTTATTATAACCTATTTCCTTGCGTTGCGGCATTACTAAGTATATAGGTACGAGACTAGCTATACCCCACGACTTCGTCCGCGTATTATAATGCCTTCTGGCAGAATGTGGATTTTTGAATAAGTCTTTTCCGAGGTTAATTCTAATGCTTTTTAACAATTATTATCAAAATCGATTCAGTACTTGTTATATTTATTGTAAAATGAATTCTTTTTTTCAAAAAATAAGCATTCGCACATGGGTTTTATCCGTCATTCCAGTGAGTTATCAGTGATAAAAATTATTTAATGTCCTTTACCGGGTTGCAAACCACTGTTGTACCGAATTTCAATAAAATAGGTTCAATGATTTAAAAGATAGAGTTCCGGAATATTAACACATAGGACCTTTGCCGTGGAATTTCCGGGACAGAACTATTATCTTTCTTATTTATAATATTAGTGTAGATTATAAGTTACTAGCTATTGTCCACTGTTTCGCTCGTGCTCATTTATGGAGTTAGGGGAAGATTTGTATAAATATGAAGCCACTAAGTTTTTTGTTAGTTACAAATAGTCAAAATACCAATTTTAATCTTTCTAACTTGAAAATTGTGAAACGCTTTGTATAAACCCACCATTTTAGGGAAGCGGGGGGCTAGAAAGAGATAGAAAGTAGCCCATCTCACTTTCTATCCCTTCAAGTACCTATCTCAACTTAAAAACACGTCAATTCGCTTTGTTTTGTCACGAAAGACGGACAAACAAACAGACACACACACTTTCTCATTAGTATGGATTCGATTTTTATGTAAAAACGCAACAACTTTTTTACACAAAAAGTTATACTATCATTATAAAACGTGGTAAAATGTATAGATATTATTTTTATTCAATATCTGAGTTATTGAGAGAATTAGAGTTGATGAGATTAGAGATGATTACAGAAGTGTGTATGACTAGCTTTTCTGCCAGCGGCTTCGCCCGCGTTCCCGTGGAATAAAAAGCCTTCGTATTATTTTAGAGTTCCAGACCATAATAGACCCCTGTATCAATTTTCATCTCGATCCCTTCAACCGTTTTGATGTGAAGAAGTCACAAACATACAAACTTTCGTATTTATAAAATATTAGTAAGATAGAGGAACGTGAAGAAGAAGAGAAATCAAAATACCGATTTACTGCAGTTTTTATTATTGACATGGTAAAAATAATCTAGCTGGTGACGCCAGAGGTGGCTTTATACCACCCTATTTGAAAGTTTTGAGTGCAATCGGAACATAGGCCCATGGAGAGGTAAATATCAATCCAAGTGGCCTGTTGCCTTAGCTTCTTGTTTTCGAGCATTGATCTTCATGGCTTTCTACTGAATTTTCAGCTGATTTAACTCACGTCTGCTATTCAACTCGTTAAACCTAAAAAATACATAAAATGAATGTAAATATGATAAAATGTAGCTATGTTTAGCCAAATAACTGTACAGCATTATGTGATTCAGATACTATAGGTTAACATAATATACACTGCCCACATATTCGGCTGCATCTGCATGCTTATTATCTCTGAACAAAGATCTGAACAAATGGAATAAAATAAAAATGCTGAAAAAATCTTACCTTGTATAGGGTATATTTATATTTCCTCCCACTCTTTTATCTTGATTGTGTTGGTGTTTGTGCTTAACGATTTATTTTCAATGATTTGAAAATATTATTTTGGAACCGAGGCGTTATAATTTTATGGCTGAAATCTAAAAATATATAAACAATATGAAGACATTTTTTCTTTGTTAAGATACGCCATAATTAACAGGCATCGGGAGTATTTACCTTTTGTTCTTTGCGCTAGTTAATAGCGCGGCTGTGCTTTTCGCTCGTTTTTCGTTATTTATAAATTGAATTGCATATTAATTATGTAAGTAAACAAATTAATAATTTTTCGACAAAACTGACAGCGACAGCAACTTGTCAAAATGTCAAGCTAACATACATCTGTTAATAAAGCAGTGATTTCATAGGTTTTATACGATTTCATACCTCCTTCTCAGTCTTTTTACTTTTAAAATTTCTGGGTTACCATAATAAAAGGATTAAACCTAGTATAAGGATAGTATTGTTATTCCGAGGTTATTCCATGTTTATTAATAGGAATTCAATTCTGAAGTTAATACTTTGTTAGTCCGGGATTAGCTAGTCCAAGACTAACCTGTGAATAAGTTTGGAATAGGAGATTTTTATTAATAAGACCGAAAGAAGTTAAAGATGCCTACACTCATGAAAATAAATCCTATAGGTACAGAATATCTACATATAGGGGCTATATGTAGGTACGTCGGCACTATAAAGTATTTGCAATTATTATTCCTATGAGAAATGCCTTCCACTTAACATTCAGCCGTGGCGCTTGTTTTAATTAATTTCAGTCCGACCGCGATTATGAGATGGATATAAACTAGAAAAAAGTGGATTACTCTAACTTATTGATATTTAAAGCAGAATAGAGTCGAGTTTAGAGTTAGCCGCCTCTAAAGATAGTAGAGCAGTAGTGACTGTCTATTTATGTTTATAAGTAGTAGCATGATGAGTGGTAACTACCTAATTATCTTATTTTCTAAAACCTTATTGTAATTTATTTATAAATCGGTAATTTGTATGTCGCAGGAATTTTAACGTGAAGATTTCAGGCAGGTGTTGTTGGTTCATTCTTTCGCCGGTGATCGGCACCTACATCGGTAATATTCATTAAGGCCTTGACTGCCGACAGAAAACTGTTGAAGGTAAATCCTCCGCTAGCGTGGCCCATACGTTGTCCCCCATGGCGTTCAAGGTGCACAAAAAACCATAAATAGATGTGTGCAAGATTTATAGATACAGTCACTTTTCTATTTATGTTAAGTATAACAAATTGTTCGTCAAATAATTAAGTACGTGGTAAGCCGAATAACATAATATGTATTTATTTTGTCACTTCTCGTCTAAAGTAATAAATGACCAAACCTTTAATAAAAATACTTATCCGATACAAAGCTCCATTATGGGATACAAAGTACTGATGTACCTAACCTAATTTTTAACCTTACTAAACTGAACTAGGTTCATATTTGTAAAAACAATCTAGACATTTACCTACTAGTACAACGTATTACCTACCTACCTCGGTGTGACCAGCCAGCAATATTGTTCAAAACAATTAAGTTATAAAGAATTCGATCAATAATTTCAGACTAATTTTACATTTTTCCATGCCATACCTATTTACAGTTTTTGATTAGACTTATGCAATAAGGTAATAAATAAGTATTATCATTAGTTAGTATTGTTAATTAGACAGTTAATTAATATAAAGAACAAAACGTTTTGCCTGAAACTTTGTTTTGTAAATTACATTAGTTAGGTACTTTCTTAATGTTGGTTTTCATTAACTAAGCGGTTGCGTAGATACTTGTATAAGAAAATATAATCTAAACTTCTGTTTCTAAGTCCGATGGTTTTGTTGTGTTCATTCGTGTATTGTGTGTTCATAAACAAAAGAGGATACATAGGCGTCATCTTTAAAGACGCTCATAATAAGCTCATACCCATACTTGAGTAACCGGGGCTCCGGCTCGACGTGCAGAAGAAGGAACGGGGTGGTTTTTAGTCAGTAAGAGTCTGACACTCTCTCCCGCCTCACCCAGGCGGGATCAGTCATTTGATGATTTTGCCCCCTTAAAAAACCATACTTATACCATCTAAATCAACTAGGTATGCGAGTGCTTACGTGGCCATTGCTGACCAAAGGCCTCTTCTCACACGGAGAAGGTTCCAGCATTAATCGCCACGCTTGCTTAATGCTGGTTGACAATTTCAAACTTATGATTAGAAATTATAAGCTTAGGATCACGATGTTTTCCTTCACCGTTAGTCAGTGGTGTCTAATAATCTTAGAATGTACATATAACTCGGAAGAAGTCAAACTGGTACTTGCTGTTGGTGGGTTTCGCACCCTCATGCATGATAAGCGCGGGCCACTACATCTCTCAGTACTTAATTTAAATCTAAGGCAGCAGAAGACCTAACATTTTCTAATTACTTATTTTCTAATGTTAGACAGTTTCACCGAGAGTCCCGGAAAATATGTTTTCACCCGAAACTAAACAGCTTAACAAGAGCAATAAACCCATACTCGTAGGGACGTAAACTTTGTAACTGCTACACATAATAATAATTAAAGTAATTGCAGATGGATATCATGTTACTGTTAACGTTATGTGCGAACTTAGGCTCTGGTGTCATGAAATAATTTCTATATGACGGGCATTGGGCAATAATAAGATATAGGCATTTTATATTACCTAATTGTGGTTATTGTTATCGACTTAAAATGTAGGCACATAAGGACTAGTATTGCTAGAGTTACTTTTATGTGTAAAAATGTTTGCATTTTTGAAGTGAAAGCGATAAAAATGTTGTAAGAATTTCGTATTCTTCGAATGCTTGCATAGTATTACTGGAATGCAACTACATTTAAGTTGGTACGTGTTCAGTGTGTGTGTCTCCTCGACCAACGAGACTATCTAAGGTATTCAGACACCTTTTGTTTTAAACTGTCAAACACCAAGCGGTCACCGGTGACCGCAACCTATTGTTCTTTATTTGTGTCTATAATGACGGTACTCGATGAGTTAAAAGGTTGCCTACATTTGGTTAGGTATCTAAATCTTAGCACACAAGGCCTATTCATTTCAGTTCTAAATGCTAACAACTAACATTTAGCGTAGATAATAATAAAGTCCAGATGGAAACTCATCATAATTTTAAAATGATAAATGTTTACGTTGTCAGAGAGCAATACAATATAACTTTACAGCCGTCGCCGGTTTTAACAATTATTGCCGGTTGTCGGTATTTTCACCCACTTGGACATTAGGGGGTAGCTAAACGATTTAATTGAAATAGAAGCACAGACCGTAGCCAACAGAAACGGGAGCCCACGTAATTATGGCAAAATGGAAAAAATAACGACATTTGGGTTCATTTGGGACGACTGTATTTTGAAATGGAAATCCCTCTGTGAATTACGCAACGTTTTATTATATTTTCGTTTCATGAAAATATTCATTTCCACCGTCGATAATGACACATTTTTGTAACGTTATCATTTCAAGGATATACGGTGCGTGTACCTATTTTTATTTAATTAAGCCAGGTACACAGGACTAATAATGTATTGATAACCTATACCTACATACATGGCTATGTACCACAATATACACGTGCCTACTTTTCAGAGAACCACTACTTCAGATTTTTGAGTGTAAAAGAGTTCAAATTGAGATCAAAATGTGCCAAAGTGAGCAATGGTGTGAGCTGAACAAAAGGGAGTGACGCTTAACTATTTCCAAGATAAACCTTATCTGAAAGTACGCACTTTTTCACTAGTACAGTGCACGGTGGAGCGAGGCTTGGTGAGAGAGCAACGAACAATATAAATGTGTGAAAATAAAGCGTGCGAGAGTAGGGCTAGGGCCCTCAGCGGCCGCCCGGAGAGCGCTAAAGTGTTATAAATCGCCTGTTATCGCCTCCGAGCAATAACTACTTTATGGCGCTATAAAGATAACGCAACGTTATCTATCAAGGAACGGTCTGTGAGATTTTTCTTACAAGATTGAAAAAAGAAGAAAAAGTTTCGATGAAAAAAGTAATAAACCATTTCACTTCTAATATCTAATCTTCTCATATAGGATCTTTGGGTGAAACAAGGCTTGTGGATTTCGTACTAAAATATTTTTGATACCGCCACAAAGGTTTGGGCGTTTATTAATGACAAGGTTATTAATAAATTAGGGATAGGCCAGACGACGCCATCGATCTCCAGTTCAATGAGATCAGTCAACGGAAAATGTTCAAAATCGATTGAGTTAATATCATTCATTAGATTGACCGTAGTACTTGAATTAACAATCAATGACTTCAAGTTAATGTTATATGTTTAAATTATAAATTAAAAATTAAAATTAGGGTGCTACGAAAATGCTACGCTACTACGTCTGCTACGAGTGACTACGAGCTACGAACATCATGATTACTCGTAGCCGTCGTAGTCGTAGGTGTGTAGCAACAGTATTTAATAATAATTGTGGCGCTCCACGTTCTATTTACTTCGAACAGCGGCTTGTCGCTTTATCCCGCCATAATCGAATTTTGCCCTTTGGAATTGGAAATTGTTTATGTATAACTATGGCTGTCGAATAAATAAAATGGGTCACGTCTCGGTACCGTGACGTGAGCGTCGTGTTCCAAATAAATATCTAAGTTGTATATTTTGTTGATGAATGGTTACTGTTGTATTTAGTGGCAAAGATAAACATACCGCCGTCAATATTAGTTTAATACTCGTCGATATAAAATTTGTTTGTCCACCCGGACATTTGTATGTTTGTGTATTGCATACACTAACCTAGGATGCGGGTAATACAGAGTAAATTTCGTTAGAATCAAGGGTTTTCGTTCAAAGTATCAATTTAAAAAGGTTAAAATAAACATTTACACGACAATGTTTAGATAATATCAAGGGTAAACAAATAAATTCTATTTGCTCGTTTATTAAATTCACAAAATTTCCGGTGGAGCGAAATATTCACATTCCTAAAAGCTTTATTGCCAAAAAAAGGGTCGCTTGTTTACGGAGTCCCAGTAAACCGGGTGAAGTCTTCATTTTTAAAACAAAGGGGTCCGGGGCTCAGGTCCGGTGGAACGTGCGCTTATCTCGCGGGACTCGCACAACCAAAGTAACAAACTCGTCGAATCAATTAAACGTGCTTGAGTTCTTGATGTTTGTCACACAAACTTTATCATCTTGTTCTTAGCTACGTAGATGTGGCTTATTCATTCCTACGTCGTTTAAATAAAAACAAAACTATTTATTTACTTTGTATTTTTTCAACGCTAGGTAATATATAAGCTTCAGGCATAA